CACTCTGAAAAAACAAAGCTAACAACAAACAGGACCTTACATACTTAGACTCACCATTCAAAAAAAGATGCACTCTCCTTTCTAGACTTTAAAATAATAAAAAAAGTAAGCAATCCAGCTTACCTCCAACAAATTTCACTATGACATTATCATATGCAAATAATAACAACAATAAACTCACACAAACTAGTTTTGACAACATCTTAACAGAAATTACAGGTACTGATAACAGCTGCATTATTATTCCCCACAATGACTATACACTTTTTCCTTAAATAGGATTTAGAATATCGCATTAATTCCGGACGAAATGTAATAGATTATTTTGAAATCATCTATAAAACATTCAAAAATGAGAAATCACTATTTAATGTGTAAGTATTATATATATGTTAAAATTCTAATAATTGTAATAACTGTTGTACGTATTACATCTATTTTTTAGTCCAGAAATGTCAAATATTATCGAATGCTCTAATAATTCTCTTTTAAAGAAAATATTAAGAGATGATGAGTGGAAAAAAATTATTGAAGAACATTCATTTCATATTGATATAGACATTACTATCTCTCATTATTTGAATCAGTTAGCTGATTTTTTATGTGATGATAATAATATCATTAATGATCATGAAATGCTCTGTCCATCTGATGATAATTCACGACACATCGAGTTAAAATTCTATTACAAGGCTTTAGTAAAATTGTAGGTTTGTGCTATATAAAAAAAGTATTTTTAAAAATTACATAGTTACATAATATTTGTTTATATTTATAGAAGAATTTTATAGAAAACTCTAATTCTATTGCCTGATAGTAATATAAGTGAAGGTCAATACATAGCAGATTATTTGCATGAAATACTTAAATTAAACTTTAAACTAAATAGATATAATCATTTTTCTTTCCCGTATGTAAGATTATTTTATCTTATTCTTTAATGAATTATAATTAATTTATTTTGTGATATTTATATTTAGTATCGATATTACATCAAACGGATCAAAAGAACGTAAAATTAATACTAAAAAAAAAAACTGTACAATGAAAAAAAATTAGTCTCCAAATCTGATAGAGGTCGTTGTGTTGATTTAATAATTAGAAACGTATTAAACATAGATCTAGTAGTAATAGAAGTTATAGGTTCCCCGTATCATAGAAATCATAAGAAAAATCAGTAGGATTTTAGAAGAGATATTAAAGCTTGTAAAGATTCTTATGAAAAGTTTGTTAATAATCTGACCGAAAAGTATGGCAAATAGATAGACGAAAGTGTTATTTATAATATTTATAGTCAATTAGAAATATATTATGTTCATGTACACGGTTAGTGTAAATAAAATTTTATATTATTATTGTATTTAAATTATAATTAATAATTTTATTTTATATTTTGAACAGAAATAAAATGGTATATTTGGACAGTTAATCATCCTGGTAATCAAGTATATAGGGCAAGACCTTTGTGTGAATTTAACATTCCTTATACCAATATTTAAGAGTTTTAAATAAATTATGTGTAATTATTACTGTTGATTTATTATTACTAAAAATTATATTAATTATTATATTAACAATTTGAATTATAATTTTTACTATTTAAAAATAGAGGCGTGTCAATATTATCTCTAAGTTCATTGAAGGATTGTATGAATACTTAAAGCAAAAGGTACAAAACAATCCATATATAATACAAGACACCGAATTCGCCAAAGTATTGTTAGATGGATATGCAATTACAAACCCTACTCCTTCAAGTAGCCCAAGAGACGATTCAAGTAGCACGTTATCAGAACATGTAGAAGAAATCTTATCTTCATTCATAGAAGAAAATGTTGAGGAACTATCAAATTCAGAAAATGGTTAGGACATGTCTGAAAATTCTGACTATGAACTAGAGTAATATTTTATTTATAAATTGATCTATTCATGAAAATATAATTGTCTTAGCATTTATTTGAAATGAATTAATTCGTTCATGAAAATGTAATTGAACTTGCAAAAGCATTTACATTTACTTGCAAATGAATCAATTCATTCATAAAAATGTAGTAACTTAGTATCTGATACAAATAATATTGCAACAAATTAATTTATTCATGGAAATGTAATCGGACTTTCAAAAGCGTTTACATTTACTTGCAAATAAATTAATTCGTTCATGTTAATGTAAATAGCATTTATATTTATCTTTAATAAATTTAATATATTGTATTGGTGATGAAGTATAGGAATCTATTTAAAGAATATCTTAATTTACTAAATTAGAGAAGCAAAACGTTCTTAGTTTTTTTTCTTTTACTTTATAAAATGTTCGCTACTTAAAATTTTATTTCTGGTCATGAGCTTACTAAGCCAGCCAAGAATGTGAGCCTACTAAGTCATTCTCAACTTTTTCTTTTGAGTTTATTTTTAAGTTTGCTTAATTATGTTCCCTTCGGCTCTTAATGATGACAAATGACTAACTGTTACCTTTTTTGAAGTATTCTGAAAAAGTGTTTCGTGCAAATAATTTTAGCTTGAAAATATTGTAATTAAAAAAACTTTTGAAAATTAATAATTAATAAAATTTAGTACTACGTAAAAACTTTCATTAAAATATTAACATCATTGCCAATTTTGATGATTTAAAAATTATAAAAGTCAGTTATTAGATATTGATCCAAATAATGCAACTGCACAAAAAATTCGTGGAGCACTTATCGAATGATGAGTGAATATACAGCTACACTTGGAGATCTAAATAGAGTATTAGAAACTAACCAAATAATGTTCATAACTTTAAATAATTGTGTGCAATCTATTTTTTAATTATGCAATATGAAATTTCTATTGCAGATTTTACAAAATCGTTGGAAATTAATCCAAGTGCAGAAATATATTATTTTCGTGCAATATCATATAACAAAATGGGTGATACTAAAAATTCAACTAAAGATTTAATAAAGTCATTAGAACTATGAATTAACAAAGGAACTACTACAAAAAATATTATTTAAATAACTA